AAGAAATATGTTCCATTAAATGTGAATTATTTGAGTACATAGCTATTATAAAAATAAATATATATACAGAGGCATGTAGTATACACACACATACATATGTATTTATAAATGCATACAACATACACTTCAACTTGGGCTGACATCACTGCCTCCAAATTTTTGTCTGGATTTCTCCCTGGAATTAAATCATCATATACTTTATCATGTGTATCTCTGGATTTCTTGAAACATTAGAGAGATACAACATATTACTTTTCCCCTGCAGAACATATCATTGTATAGATTATTTTAAATTTAATCTCACTTGCTTTTCTGTGCACATATTTTGCTTAATAACATTCTACTTGATGACCTAAATATAAATATATATAATTGTCATTTGTTACAAGATTTATAAGGATTATTTTTCCACTTCCTATAAGTTTTAGTTCTTAAAAAAATTATGCTACATGAGAAATGTATCAATTTTAGAATTTTAGAAATATGTGAATTATTTCTCATCCTTGAAAGCAGATTTCATAGTTTGCAATTCAAAAAATAAAATGCTTTTATGTTTTCTTAGTACCAATTGCTCTCCCTTCCTAGATATAAAAGTATGGTATTTTATTATTGTTTGTACAAGCCAAGAATAGCCTTTTTGTGAAAATCTCCACACATTCATTAAACCTGTAATTCTGCTATCCCGTTTAAGGTGGATTTACTTTGAGTTGGCCATAAACTTTCTTTTTGTGTTAGCTGCCAGCCTCCTTAGTCAATAATGCTCTGACCATTGCTTTTTCAAGAGTACATCAGTAGTATTTTCTCTTGTCAAATACAATTGCATATATATATATATATTTCTTTATCCAAAATTAGAAGATGATTCTGAAAACATAGCAACATGAAAAAATTAGTAGAATTAGAAACAGTAAGTCTCTGAAAGAAAGAACTGGGAGAGGATAAAGAGCCAAAGATCCACAGGCAGGGAAAGACTCACATTTAAGGGTGGAAATTGGATAGAGGGGAAGTGGATGAGAGGTTTGGTGCAAGAGAATGTAATGGTATAACTTTGTGTCATGTAGTAAAGGCTAAAAGAAGGAAAGGAAAGGGAACAATAAAGCTTTGTGAATATTGTGAAATGAAGACAAGAAAGTGACAGTGAACAAAATAGTTCCATAGCTTTAGAAAAGAAAAAAAACTATGCAAAATAGTAGAGAAGAAAGTAAAATTATATGGAGGCCGCAAAATTCTGAATTATTATCCCAGAGTTGTTCCCTACTCTCATCAATTAAGATTATTTTTATTGTAAAATAAACTAATATTTTAATAATCTTATTTTTCTATAAATAAATGGAAAAGTTTTGAGATCCTCTACTGAATCACAAATGTATTTCTGTGTCACTCTATGCTCATACAGTTCCAGCTAATATTAAATGAAATGTTGAGGAATTAAAAGAAGAGATTTTGTAACTACAATTTTAAGTTATCTCAAATAATTCAATCTCTTATAATAGTATAGAGCCCTATATCAGTCAGGGTTCCCTTAGAGAAACAGAATAAATGTTATATGGGATTATATATGAACACTGGCAAATTTGAAATCCATAAGGAAGATTAACAGTTCGGAAACTCAGACAAGAGCTGATTCTAAAATACATATGGCAGGCTGGTAAGCTGGAAATCCAGGCAGGAATCCTATGTCGCAGTTTCAAGGCAGAAATATTTTTCTAGAAAACCTTAGGTTTTGCTCTTAGTGGCTTCAATTAGTTGGATGGCACCCATTCATATTATCAAGAGCAATCTACTTTACGTAAAGGCAATTGATTACGGATGTTAGTTATATATAAAAAATACCTTCACAGCAACATGTAGACGAGTTTGACCAAACATCTGGGTACCATATCCTAGCCAAGGTGACCCATAAACTTACCCATCACAAGCCCCTACCATAAAAACAAAACAAGTGATTTAAAACAGAAAACAGGACATAAGAATTGAAAGAATGTGGATTTAAAATAAGATGAAATGCAAAATTAAAAATACAGTCTTTTAGTTTTGTGAAACAAAAAATAAAAGAATTACAAAAATGCTATGTAGTAACTCGTATAGTCCATCTTAGGTATCTGAGTGAAATTATTTTTCTCTGAAAAAAAAAATAATTTCTTCATGTTTCTCTGAAGAAGACAATTGGTTTAAAGTGCTGGCTGTCTCCTGTAAACCCAATCTTAGAGACACTCCAGAGACTAGAAATAGATTGAAGGATCTGTCACATTAACATAAAAGCGAGGAGAAAACTCTAAGATGTTTTTAAGTACCAGACTGAAAGAGAAACAATAGCCTACAATAAAAGAGGTCTGGGAACAAAAACAAGATAATTTTTTAAAATGTGTCATTTTCTCTTCTCCATATTGACCTGAATACTCTATAATCATACAAAGGCAGAAAACTAGTGTCCAGTCCAGTACTATAAGGATCCAAGGTGAAGATAAGTACAATTTTCAAGACTAACCTAGACAAACCTCCCTAGTCCTTCAGATTATAGTGCTTTCCCATTTGCTGCTTCTGAGAGCTAGGTGATTTTAAATAAGGGTAACAACAGAGGTACACACTATTATGCTGTCTTCTAGGACACTGTTAATCCGTACTCCAGACTCATCAAGCAAGGCTCAAGCTAGCATCTGGCTTTAGCTGTCCCACCACCATGGTACACATCATGAATATAGCTCCAAAGCATAAGAACTTACAGAAAAATAAATATTTAATATACTACAGTTAAAAGGAAGAGAAGCTAGAGTAGATTAAGCAGAATTTACATATTCAATAAGCAATCATTTAAAACAAGCATATTTAATATCTGCAAAGATATAAGGGAAGATACTGGAGCAAGAAGAAAGCACAGGAAGTCATAAAATATAAATGAGGTATCATTTATGGAAAGAACTAATTGAGATAAAGGACTCAACAGATTGAATGAGTTCTAGAATGAAAATCAGAGAGGGATGAATTATTGACCTGCACAATTAGGTAGAGTAACTCTCCCAGTTGTTAGGAAGAGAAAAATAAATTTTAGAAGAAACATGAAAGGGATATGGATGTTGGAAATATAATTGCCCATACTTACAGATTTACTAGAAATAAAAAGTGATGAGGCAAAATTTTTTCTTAAAAATTATGGAGAAGGCCGGGCGCCATGGCTCACGCCTGTAATCCCAGCACTTTGGGAGGCTGAGGCGGGCAGATCACGAGGTCAGCCGATCGAGACCATCCTGGCTAACATGGCAAGACCCCGTCTCCACTAAAAATACAAAAAAGTTAGCCAGGTGTGCTGGCGGGCGCCTGTAGTCCCAAGCTACTAGGGAGGCTGAAGCAGGAGAATGGCGTGAACCCGGGAGGTGGAGCTTGCAGTGAGCCGAGATCGCATCACTGCACTCCAGCCTGGGGAACAGAGCGAGACTCTGTCTCAAAAATAAATAAATAAACAAAAAACAAATTAAAAAAATTATGAAGAAATATGAAGAATGAGAGGATGATGTAGAATTTCTGATATCATAAAGTACAAAACAAAATTCCACGCAAAATCTTGTTCAGTAAATTTTAAGTCATTTTTTAAGATGGGAAATTCTAAAAGAGAAGGGAATCAAATTAGCTACCAATAAAACAGTAACAGTTTGATATTATACACATTGCACCTGTTGTCAAAAATAATGGAGTCGCTAACACGGTGAAACCCCGTCTCTACTACAAATACAAAAAAAAAAAAGAATCTGGCGAGGTGGCGGGAGCCTGTAGTTCCAGCTACTCTGGAGGCTGAGGCAGGAGAATGGCGTGAACCCGGGAGGCAAAGCTTTCAGTGAGCCGAAATCGCGCCACTGCACTCCAGCCTGGGCGACACAGAAAAACGCTGTAAAAAAAAAAAAAAAAAAAAAAAAAAGGAGTCATACTTACAGGTATTAAAAAAAAGAAACTGCAAAATTCAAAGTTTCCATTTATTTAAGTTAAAGGAAAACACATGGTGTCAGAAAACTAATCATATAAAGACCCAATATGAAATTAAAAAAAAGTTTAAAAAGCAAAGCAAAGAAAAAGGAATGGAAGAAAAGGGAAGTGAAGTAAAGAAAAAAGATACTACCTCCTTATTAATAATCTAGAAAGAAATTTCTTGAATATATCAAAGTGGTGGAGGGCAGGAAGTAGGGTGGAAGACACCATAAAATGATGCATAGTAAGTTTTCTCACTCAGATTTTTTTCAAGTCTGAAAAAAATTGGTAAAACAATAAATACATGTTTGGGTAAATACTTGAATGAATCTCAGGGATAAATTCTAAAAGAACAAAATTAGGAAATATGCATTTTGAGGCAGAAATAAGCATTTAATCAATACAAAAAGATGAAGAAATTTTTTAAAAGAATATTTAATGAAACCCAAAATAGACTGTAAAGGAGCCTAAATGAAGCAGTAATCATGGTAAATTGTAATGACTCAAATAGTAATATTATACCAAAACTAAGAAATGTTCCTCGGCTATATAATTTCTTAGTTTTGGTGTAATATTACTTTTTTCCCATATGGAATAAAGTAATATTACACCAAAACTAAGAAATATTTTTTTCATATGGAAAAAAGTAATATTACACCAAAACTATATTTTCCATATATATACACACACAAATACACACACAACATAACATATATATGATATATGTTATATATCTTTTATTTTATGTAAAATATTTTTATATAGGAAATATATTCATATATTTATATATTAAATATATTTATGTTTTTATATATGCATATTTTATCTATATAAAATAAGATATATATCTTACATATATATCTTATATATTATATATTTATTTTACATGTATAAAATAAAAGATACATATATAGAAAAACATAGTGGGCAAAATAAACAAGTTGATAAATATTATAAAACAATATTTGTGATGCCAACAATTATGAACAATTATAAAGAAAAAATTATATTTAGAAAATGCAAGAAACTCTTATAAACAAAAACATACACAAAGCCAAATGGAACAAAATGAGCAAAATTATAAATCAATTTTCAGAAGGAGAATTCCATATGATGAACATTAGTAATCAGTGTATTTTGTCAAGCTATTGGATTGATAAAAATCACAATGCCAAATGTTGGTAAATAAGAAATTTTTTTTCTGTATAGAGGTTGTACAAATCTTCACTCTCATTAATTCACTTCCTGTCGTTTTATGATTTTTAATGCTTCGTTTTATGTTTTAAGGTAATTAGATAATTACCATAATGAATACTGTAGCTACTTTCCCCTTTATGTCACTTTTTTTCTTTACTTTATAATCTGAACTACAAATAAGGATATTTTATTTCGTGTTGGCTATATAACAATCTTCTAATTTTTTTACATTTTATGTACTGAAAAGTTTTATGATGCTTTTCTTCAGAAACATTCATTTTTGTATTTAAAAGATATGTAGTAATTTTTATTAGGTTCAGTTCTGCCTCCACACTTGAGTTTTATTTTTTTCTATTGTCTAACATATTTGTTGTACATTACTTGTCTCATTTAAATTTCAATTTTGGAAACACTGTTAAATTAATAGACTCATTATGGAATTTCCTGATTCTTTGGTCTTCTTTAATTTTCTGTTCTATATCCATTCTCTGGAATTAAGTATTATTTTAATTTATTGTATCTAATACAACAACACTTTTCTAGCTGAAATGTGTTGGCAAGTATCTCCAATATGTCATGAAATAGGTAGAGGTAAACTAGTGAAGAGTTTGGTCTTATTTCTGACTTCAATGAGAATGTCAGTGGTGTTTTTAAATTGGTGTTGATTTTAATTGAGGAAAAAACATCTACAAGCATACTTTGGAGATATTGCAGGTTCAGCTCTAGATTATTGCAATAAAGCATATATTGCAATAAAATGAGTCACATAAATATATTGGTTTCCCAATGCATATGAAAGTTATGTTTATACTATACTATAGTTTATTAAGTATGCAATAGCATTATGTCTGAAAAAAGTACATGCCTGAATTAAAAATTATTTATTGCTATAAAAAGATGCTAACAATCACATAAACATTCAGCAAGTTGTCATCTTTTTGCTGGTGGAGACTTTTCCTCCATGTTTGTTGCTGCTGACTGATCAAGGTGGTGACTGCTGAGGTTTGGGGTGGCTGTGGCAGTTTCTTAAAGTACTGCAAAAATGAAGGTCATGCCATCAATTGATTATTCCTTTCATGAACGATTTCTCTGTAGCATGTGATGCCGTTTGCTAGAATTTTTCCCAAAGTAAACTTTTTTCAAAATTTGAGTCAATCCTCTCAAATACTGCCATTGCTTTATAAACTAAATGTATGTAATATTCTATAGCATTTGTTGTCATTTCAGCAATGTTCACAGCATCTTCACCAGGAATAGAGTCCCTCTTAAGAAATCAATTTCTTTGCTCATTCATAAGAAGCAACTCCTCATCTGTTCAAGTCTGATCATGAGATTGCAGTAATTCAGTCACATCTCCAGGCTCCAATTCTAATTCTAGTTCTCTTGCCACCACATTTGCAATTATTTCTTCTAGTGAAGTCTCAAACTTCTCTAAGTCATTCGTGGAGTATTAAATCCACTTCTTCCAAACTCTTATTAACGTTATTATCTTGACCTCATCCAGGTTTCATAAATGTTCTCTCAATGGCATCTATAATGGCGAAACTGTTGCAGAAGGTTTTCAATTTAGTTTGCTCAGATCAATCAGACAAATTACTATCTATGGCAACTATACTCTTAGGAAATCTATTTCTTAAATCCAAAAACTTGAAAGCAAAAATTTCTCCTGGCTCCATAGGGTGCAGAATGGATATTGTGTTAGCAAGGATGAAAACAAAATCAATTTCTTTGTACATTTCCATCAGATCCCCTTGGGTGACTAGAAGTATTGTCAATGAGAAGTAATATTTTGAAGAAATCTTCTTCTGAACTGTTAGTCTCGGCAGAGGCTTAAAATATTCAGTCAACCATTCTGTGAACAGACAGTAGAACAAAACTTTCAAAGTGCTCACACAATATAGCTATGAATTTGGAATTATAAGAAAAAGACATTTAAAGACACATGTATAAACACATGCAAACCCCAAAGGGTTTCAACTGAAAAATTATAAATGTCAAATGAAAACTATAAATCCGTGAAATAATCTGTAAAGGACTGAGAAGGTTAAGATATTTTCAAATACACAAAGTCAGAGAGTGTTTATCAACAAGATTAAAAGATTTTTAAAAATATGTCTATCAACATGAATTTATATATATATATTTATGTGTGTGTGTGTGTATATATAGACATATATAAATGTGAGATGTTACAAAGGTTGCTAAACAGTTGGACAGTCATCTTCAGCACAAAAGATAGGGTTCTGAGAGTCACCATTCTCTCGCACCCTGAACCCTGTATCTGCCCAGTGTGAGATTTTTCTAAATTGCATATAAATATCATACTGTCTAGCAACTTTTCAGTTATTTTTTAATTATCTTGTTTTAGCTCAGCTATTTTAATAGGTTTCTTATTAAGATTAAATAGATTAATAAGAGTAATGCAAATAGTGCTCATAGTCCTCAATAACTGTTATCATTTGTTTTATAATTGTGCTATTATTATTAAGTTATGTTATACAATGAGGTATTGGTATAGCAATATTTTTTTAAAGACCAGTGGAAGAAAATAAGGAGTGCAGAAACAGATCCACATGCCTGGAAATTTTAGGATGGCAAATTACATAAATAGTAATATAACTGGTGATCCATAATAAAAATAAAATAATTTAAATTTGTATGTCAAACCATGCCTCCAAATAAACTCCAAATAAATAGAATATTTAAACATGAAAGTAAAACATTCTATCTGTAGCCAAAAGTACGGAAGAATATCTTTTTACCCTTGATATTTTTTAAGAAATTTGCAACATGTAATGATTAAAAATGCTGATAGCCTTAATTAGATTGAAGTTAACATTTTCTCGTTTCACAAAACAGCCTAAGAAAGGTCGAGACTACAAAAGGAGAAAGGACATTCATAATGTATTTAATTGTCCAACTATTGATATCTAGAATACATACAGACAGCTTATAGATCACTAAGAAAAAGATAAGCACTGTAATATAAAAATGAACAAAAGTCACAAAGAGGCATTTCACAGAAGAGGAAATGAAAATAGCCAATAACCATATAAAAAGATGCTGAGTTTCACTATCATTCATGGAGTGGCAGAGTAAGATAAGATACTAAGTCACTATTTACTAAGAATATTGACAGTATCAAATGTTTGTGACTATATGGAGTAACTAGAACTATGTTGACTGATGCTGGGATGGTGTATTGGTGTAATCGCTTGGGAAATTATATCTGGAATTTATTTACATTATTGAACATATGTGATATGGTTTGTCTGTGTCCCCACCCAAATCTCAACTTGAATTGTATCACCCATAATTTCCACATGTTACGGGAGGGTCCTGGGGGGAAGTAATTGAATTTTGGGGGTAGTCTTTCCCATGCTATTCTCATGATAGTGAATAAGTCTCACGAGATCGATGGGTTTATCAGGGGTTTCTGCTTTTGCTTCTTCCTCATTTTCTCTTGCCAACACCATGTATGAAATACCTTTTGCCTCCTGCCATGATTCTGAGGCCTCCTCAGCTGTTTGGAACTGTAAGTCCAATTAAATCTATTTTTCTTCCCAGTCTCAGGTATGTCTTTACCAGCAGCATGAAAACAGACTAGTACAATATGCATATTATAGGACCCAAAAATTCCATTTCTTGGAAAACTTCCTAGAGAATCTGTTGGGGTCAGGAAAATGGCTAAATCATGATTATAGTGATGGTTACATGACAGTATATATTTGTCAAATTAATCAAATTGTATACTTAAAGTTTGTGAATTTTATTGTATTTGCTTATACCTAAATAAAGCTGATTTAAAGAAGAAAGATAAAAAAAAGAGATTGCAAAGTTTAAATCAATCTTAACAAGCTAAATTAGAAAGAAGAAAAAAGGATGTAATCCATTTTAGTGTAATTTCCAACTAAAGTGATTATTAAAAATGAAGTTCTAGTGTTTAATGCAACAAATTTGTAACTCTCCAGAACATTAAGCTTCTAAGAATGACTTATTTTCTCAAAGTTTTATGGGTGAAGATTTGAATACATGTCACCATCTATAGACAAAAGCTTCTTAATAAATGCTTTTCATGAGGATGGAATGAAACAAACAAACAAAAAAGAAAGTGAAAGAAAAGCACAAGCTTAAAGTCTACTGTTGTAATGAAAAGTTATGACTCTGTGCCCACTTTAAGAATGAAGCAGTTCTTTTGCTCAGACACTTTTCGTTGAAGTAGAAGCCAGGTTCTAAGAAAAGCACCCTATAACAGTTGTGCAGGTGTACAGAAGAGTGATCCCTTGAATTTTTTCCCAAAAGGACAGATGGTCATTTATTCTGATAACAATACACAGGAAAAAGGCAGTACCTAGATCTTGTGAGGGCTCTTGATACATGATTTAAGGTTACACTAATACCTGGGGACCAAGGCATCACTGTGGCCCTCTTGTTAGGGAGAGACATATGCCAATTAGGAGTAAAATCCTAATAGACATACTTAGAAGGTAGCAGAACATTCATTCATTCAAGGTTTGTAGAGTAAGCCTTGGACTTGTAGAGTAAGAGTTATTGTTGTAAGAAGGGCCAAATGTAACTCCCTAAAACTGCCTTTCACCACTCCCAGAAAAAAAATTTCATAATACTACTATCCTACACTGCGGGAGAATTGGTGTGACCCTCAAAACTGTAAGGACTTCAGGAATTGTGGTATCTATTATATTCATATCATATTTAATTCACAAGTCTGGCCCCTTCAAATATTAGATCAATCATAGTAAAGGACATTGTACAAAACTAAACAAGTAGGAATTTCAATTGCACTTGCTGTGCCAAATTCCATTATATGTTTATAGCTTGATCAGAATTTGCTGCTATTCTCAAAATTAGTGTGAGAGACAAATTGTATATTAAAGACAAGATCGACTAATGCACTACAACTGTTCATTTTAAAATTTATTGATTCTCCAATATGTGGAGTGGCATTTTATAGGAAACATGATGGCTCATTATTCTACAAGTTTGCTTGGAATGGGAGAGAATATGATAAGCTCATATAATTTTCAGTTATGAATTGTACACAAATAGTTTCATATGGGAATTCCTCATGTGACAATTCTTGTTGATGTATTTAAATATGAATCACTTGTTCTGTGTTAATTTTTTTTTTTTTTTTTTTTTTTTTGAGACGGAGTCTCGCTCAGTCACCCAGGCTGGAGTGCAGTGGCGCAATCTCGGCTCACTGAAAGCTCCGCCTCCCGGGTTCACGCCATTCTCCTGACTCAGCCTCCCAAGTAGCTGGGACTACAGAGGCCTGCTGCCACGCCCGGCTAATTTTTTTTTTTTTTTTTTTTTTTTTTTTTTGCATTTTTAGTAGAGACGGGGTTTCACTGTGTAAGCCAGGATGGTCTTGATCTCCTGACTTCGTGATCCACCCGCCTCGGCCTCCCAAAGTGCTGAGATTACAGGCGTGAGCCACTGCGCCCAGCCCTCTGTGTTAAATATTAAACAAAGAAAAGTACATGTCATTTGACAAGGATCATTGTGCTTCCTGGAAACTTAGATTCTCGACTTTCCATTAATCACCAACTCGTGCTTACACAACGCATAGTGAGTTCTAAATTTGAATAAAGTATTGTATTAGATTTAAATTTAAACTTATCTCACTGTTTCAGTGATCCTACTAAATTTATGGTCAAGCAGGGTTTTTTTCCTCATATATACTATTATATTTAAATCAAGAAGTGTTTTAAATGTCCTAATTCGATTTGTATAGGATTGATGGAAGACTTCTGTAAATGTTGTAGCTGCATTCTTCAAAATGTGAATGATTTTAATCAAAACTGTTCAGTATAAAGTAATGTGCACCTCATTATTTATCTCAGTACATTTTTTTCTTCTGCTCATGATTTATCAGTAACCTTCCCATGGTCAGTTCTCCCCACACAGAGTGGACAATCAAGTGCACTCCCCCAAACTCTGTCCATTAAGAGAATTTCCATGCAAAATTCCTTTTCAAATCACTTGTCTGGGGCTATCCTACAATAGAAGTCAATTTTATCTTCTGTCTTTGTACTAAGCCAACCTATTCATGAACACATTTTAGGTATTTTTCCTCCCCTGAAAGAGCTATGAGGATAATAGGTGTGAGTTGATGGAGTGACCTTGGTGTACCAGTGGTGGATGTCATGAGGGTCATGCTTGCATGTAACACTGGCCTGTATACAAAGACATTAAAACATTTATTAACTTTTCTTCTATAAAAATTAACATAATTCGTTCTATGCATTAATTGATGCTAAATAATTTACTTATTTAACTACCCGTTAACTTCTTTTTCCTGTCATTGTCAGAATTAGGCTGGCCTTAATTCCTTTTTGTGTAAAATGTTATTAATTCTATCCATTTTGGAGCCCCTCTCCCCGACCGCCGCACCGTCTGGGAAGTGAGGAGCGCCTCTGCCAGGCTGCCGCACCATTTGGAAAGTGAGGAGCGCCTCTGGCCGGCCGCCCCACAGTCTGGCAAGTGAGGAGTGCCTCTGCCCAACCACTGTGCAACCCTCCAGGTGTGAAGTGGTAGCCTTGTGTGTGACCTTTCTGCCCTCCCCAAGTTTGCATTTTCGATGTTAAAGTTTACTTTTAAATTAAAAGTTTTAAATTGGGGAAAAAATGTTTCAGTTTTGTTTACCAAAGTGAAAATACACAAAACCTTTTTCCTTTTGAGCCATTTGTAGCTTATGAAATTGAGTAAAACAACAAAGATTACCTTTTTCTTTCTGCCTGCTATCTCCAAAATTTAAAAACTATTTAGAATCTCACTGAGCTAAATCTGTTTTCCTTACCAGCACCCTGCTGCTAATACTATATGAGCACC